GTAAAATCTGGATGCTGAGCGTAGCGATGTGTATCCACAGCAACCAAATCGGACAAATCCACTCTCTCAGAGTTTACTCTTGACAGTGGACTCTGTGGGAGCTGAGAGAGAAAACATGCTAAAACACAGGAAGAGGACATTTAACCCTGGTCATGCAGTGGTTAATAGTTTGTGGAGCGTCTGGTTGCTTCAGAGGGATCTGTTAGCGAGGATTAGTTACTCTCTATCCAACATGGCTAAAGACACACTCACTAACATGTAAACATACGCACATACACATCAAACAGACAGCCAGTGTGGGATGTGCCAGGTGTTGGAGACACATAAGGTTTATAGTGGAGACTTGGAGGCCTGCCTGCAGTAGCTCTGTCACAACGGCAGACAGTTCCAGTCCATCTACCAGCCAAGCACCACTACTGCTTGCTCACTGCTGCCACAAAATCTGCCACTAACAGCTAGCACAGACCTTTTTTTAAAAAGGACATGTCTGTATTTTTAAACACAACCTCTCAGGACCCAGTCTTGAAGCACTAGAAGGCGTTTGTGAAATACAGGGGGTCCCAGGGGTCTCAGACCCTTGATTGACAGTTTGGCCCCATTGAAAATCCTAAAATGAAATTTCACACAATCTCAGAAATGTGGTATGGTACTAAACATGATCCAGAAAACTGACTGTGGTCCACAGGCTGTTAAAGACGCATGCATCACCATCTACAGCGGCTTTTATTGGGATCAAACCAACATAACATACAAAAACAGACACAATGTATATGCCCGTCTTAGTAGCAAAAGTATGTCTTTGTGAGGAAACTGAGACAGACTGAGTGACAGTAGCACGCAAGGTTGGACTGACTTTACACAGTCAATAATGCTGATATGATCAATAATCATTGACAGGGTATTTATTATTTACCATGGCCCTTGAGCTACTTTCATGTGTTATTTTGTTAACTCATGTGTAAATGAATTTGGTGCATTTTGTGCCGACTGGAGTGCACCGCAGCGTTCACTGCAAAGGTATTCAGTAGCTAAGGTCACGCTAAGAGGAAGGGATTTTGAAGAGGTAATTGCACTAAATCGAATTACAAGTTGGAAGCTGCTAAATGCTCCAGTGTTCATTAGCTAGTGGCTAACGTCTTTTTTCCATTACATAGTACACAGTGTGTTTATCAGTTTTTTTTATTGATGTGTTGTAATAGTTTTTGGACAATAATAGACATATACAGCAGAAACTACTAAAATACAGTATATTGATAATTCTGTCATTTTCAGGAGATTTGTTGACAATAAGAAAATAAAATATCACTACTGGCAGCACGGTGGCGCCGTGGTTAGCCGTTGCCTCACAGCGAGAAGGTTCCGGGTTCGGGCCCCACCTGGGACCTTTCTGTGTGGAGTGTGCGTATGTGTGGTTGTTCGTCTATGTGTTAGCCCTGGCGATGGATGGGCAACCTGTCCAGGGTGTCCCCCGCCTTCGCCCGACTGCCGGCTGGGATTGGAGTGTCTACAAAACACTCCTTTGTAAATTCCCCACAGACTTTATTTAGCTTTTGTTTAAAGTGGTGAGTACAAGGGCATCACAGCTTGAGATCCCATTATTTTTTAGCAATTGATCTTCCCTGAGGCCCTCGTGCACATGAGAAAGAAATCCCTCATGGTATCGGCTACTACTGTCTATAAAAAGAAAAAAAAAATAAGACTCTTAACCCAGTGTCGGAGTTTAAAGCTTATGAGTAAGATACAGCTGCAAAACTGATTGGATTCTGTTCTTATTTTTAATAGGCGGCTCATCTTTTCTCTTACTCTTCTTTAACTCTGCCTGCCTGGACATAATGAATATGTAAAATGCTTTAAATCTGCAATGTAAAACTGCTTCTGCTGCTCTTTTAAACAACAGGCCCTAAAAAATACACCGCAAGGAGAAAAATGTATTTTAAATATCATGCAAACTGTATGTATAGTACTACCTTGAACTGTTAAGCATATTCATATGCATATATGCATATGAATGTTCTACTGAGTGATATATTTAATCCCCAGAGGCATTTCTCTGCTGCTTTGACTTTGCTGCCACTGAGACCATGAAATTGCTCCTTTCATTTAAAATTAAACACAACACTGCATACTTTGGTTTCAGCTTTCGCCGCCACGTGTGTGTTGTCAGTAGCATTTGTGAAGGTTTGTCTGTTTGGTAGCTCTACTGTTTATATCACACAGCTGTGAAAAGTTGAGATATAAAAAATAATGCAGCCATCCATCCATTATGTATACTGCTTATCCTAATGAGAGGGGTACGCGCTGGACAGGTCGCCAGTCTATCACAGGGCTGAGGTTTAGAGTCAGACAACCACACACGCTTCTAGGGACAAATTTAGAGTCGCCAGTCAACCTAAGCTGCTGTCTTTGGACTGTGGGAGGAAGCCAGAGTAGTCGGAGAGAACCCACGAGGACAGACACAGGGAGAACATGCAAACTCCAAACAGAAAGGCACCTGGTCGGCCGGGGCTCAAACCCGGAACCTTCTTGCGCTAATCACTGCATCACCAAGCCGCCCCAATAATACAGCCAGAATTTTGTAATTTCTAAAAGCACACAGTGGTCCACAGCACACAGCCGACTTTGTACTGAGAATATCAGAATGTGAGTGACCTAGCTTCATCTGAATAATTCAGGTAAATGTAAGATTTAGACCAAAATAGAAGCAGGACTGTGCAGCAGTTCAAAAGCTGTGGAGGCAGACCTTTGTGGAATTTCTTTTCAGGAACTTTCCGATTGGTCTGTTGGTTTTGCGTTTGTTTCTGTAGCAGCAGCAGCTGAATGCCAAGTCACATGAATAAATAGGTGTTTTTAAAAGTGGAAAGCATGAGAGGGTTGAGACCATTCTCTCAAAATGTTTCAGAGACAAGAGGTGAGTTTGATTTATAGCTGTGGTAAAGCAAGACATTAGAGGTTAACGCTGCACTTGTAATACCAATGCTTAATTTGAATAATTGAGTGGATGACTGATCATGATAAGGAGCTCAAGCAGCTTGGCATTATAATATAATCAATCACAGTGTAATCAAAACAAATGGGTGAAGTCATCATGTCACAGCTCAAGCCAACATAAAATTTACGTATTTACTAAACTTCATTTAACCATTCAAATCAATTTGCAATGATGGGGTGCTACTCTCCTTTTAGTCTGTTTGGAAAAGCAGTTGAGTCAAGACTTGTAGCTTAGAGGAACCTCTGTTATTTTTTTCAATTTAAACAAGACGTGTTTCACCTTCGGAGAAAAAAGCTTTTAACATTTTCTTCCTTAGCAACAGTTGTAAACTAGTCAGGCTGAGGCCTGCAGTGCTCATTACTTGCAATCAGAAATGCACAGAATGCAAACATCCATTTTCATGTAATTTGAGGTGAAAGTACAAGCCATTTACTCCAAAAATATGCCAAGTGCTGGTTGGAGTAGATGCCAGGGGTTCCCCTCTATGAACACATCATTTATATTTCACACAGAGGTTGAGACTGCCCAACTACAAACAGGCTACATGTAGTTATTTCTGTTGATAGAGCAAACTACACATGTCAGTACACACCATGCCAGTTACCTGAACAATAAGCTGCTATCACTGGTCAGGCTAAAGGAGTGGGCACAAAAATTAAAGGCAGATGATTGGCAAAGAAACATCTGAAATGTCAACTTTACAACACGTTCATTCTGAGAGTGAGGTGCAGCTGCAGCGACTGTGCCCAGCTGCTCAGCTTCCCCACTGTCACTTCACAATTCAAGTGTCTCAGTAATGACTTATTTTACAGGTTCACTAGTTCCTCATAATTCCTTCAAGGTTTCCTGGAAAGAACCATGTAGTTTGGTATTAACTACACAAAACAGTTCTGAGAACAGTTGTTGTTGGTCCATTGAGGTATGTTGTTTAGCACTGCCCTTTAAATGAATTTCTATTGAACAAAAAATGCTTATTTTAAACCCCAGATCATATTCACTGTTATTTCTTATTTGAAATGTTTTTCTTCATTTATGCTGAATTGTACAGTTGTTTGAATGTGTAGCTTACCTTGTGTTTTCTGAATAAAAGCCTCAAGTTGGTGCAAGCTTAGCATTTACAAAGCATAACACTGATCACTCTCTAATGTTACCTAGAATTAAATTATATGTTTCTTTCCAGGAAACGTCTCAGGAAAATATTTGGAAATAAAATGTAATTTACAAACCTGTAAAATAAAGTGTTACTACTAAAAGCCAAGTGCATTATAATACACTTTTCATTTATAAATGTCTTTTACAGAGATTACAAATCTGACAGCATCCATTGTGGTTTTCCAGCATTATATATATAAGGATTTGTCCTACTTCGCTGGTAAGAACGCACCTCAAATTTTATTCTCTTTGGTTACAGATTTAAAAATTCCAGAAGAAGAATAACTTTATTACACTTTAGCAGTTAAAACAGTTAATATAAGTTTAAACAGCTAAGAATCCTTCATAAACTAACATAAGCATATGGATGGACGATGCATGAGACAACTTTTTGCTTGTCTGTATGGGTGGAGATACTCCATCATCAAAACAAATCAATGATCACTCAAGGAAGAATTTACACCTTTTAAACTACTGTTTAGACCGTGTCTCAGTTGAACTCTGCCTCTAATGTGGTTTGGTCATGTTTACTCTTGGCCTTCTTGCTATCAGGTCGTATAAATCTGTGGAGTGCGGTTGCCAGGTTTGGTGCAACTGCACACAAGGACTACACCTAAAACCTGTGTTAAACTGTATTTGGATAAACTGTGTCTATATCTGCAGATGCTGCACAGAAGCACTGGATGGATGGATAAACTGTTCACTGCCCAAAAATAGTTACAACACGCGACTATAAATGGTCTTTTCGCCACATATTTGAGTTAGACTGTCTTTATGATAAACTAATAATGCCCTGACTCCAGTTTTATACTGATCAATCAGACACATGCCTGATATAGAATGTCTTAACTAATTCTCAGAAAGAAAGCAAATAAGCATATTTGCTAAAATGTTGAACTACATCTTTTTTTTTTTTAAACTTTAGACTCTTCATCACGTCAGCGCTTAAAAGTGTCAATGACAACACAGGCTACTGTTGATAATGAATATGTTTAAGTCCTTAACTGTGTCCATCACGCTGGGTATGTGGATTGCACTTAATGTTATTCTTGCATCTCAAACAGTAAAACACATTGCAATAAATACATCAGAAAAGAAAAGTAAAACCTGTTTGACTTTTAGTGGTGCAATAAATCTAAAAAGAAGAAATATGCTGTACATCACATCTTGTTGTTCTGCTTTGTCTCTTACTGAAATTATTCCAGACCACAGTTTACATGAAATATGTGTAACCCCATATCACTATTTGCATTTGACGGCGTCTTAACTCACCACGACAAATGTCTGACACAAAGACAGTTATTATCAATCAAACGAATTTGTCGACTGATAAACTAAACTGATTGAATAAATAAACAAAATAAACCCATGAGTGAAATGACAAGCCAGTTTCTCAAGTTGTCAGTTACACAAAAAGCCGTGCCAATAACAGAATATGCGTCACGTTTGTCAGTATGTGTGTGTGTGAATGTACTGAATGTGCTAAAGAGTACACAGTGGATGATGCAAAGTATTTATCACACTGTTTGTGTGCACAGTGATCACTGTATATAGGCGAGTGTGTGTGTGTGTGTGTGTGCATGAGACAGTGAGTGAGAGAGATAACTCACCAGCAGGGAAGTAGAGCGGGAGGTTCTGCAGATATAGCTCCTTATCCGTCGGTAAAAACACACAGAAGATAACTCTGTCCAGCTGACACACACACACACACACACACACACACACACACACAGACACACGCACGCACACATACATACAATGACCTTTATTACAAGCATATGCAATAATTCAGCAGCAGCGGGGGAACAATGTGGCTGTGTGTGACATTGTGCGGTGGTGATATCAGGAGAATACAGCTAATCAATCCATTACTCCCCTATTAGCTCCCCATTATGCCTCAACACTGTGTTTATTATACTCCATGCTGAGGACACAGTGTTGGAAGGGTCTACAGAGAGATACAGCAGTGTGTGTGTGTGTGTGTGTGTGTGTGTGTGTGTGTGTGTGAGAGAGAGAGAGAGAGAGAGCCAGAAAGAGGTTAAAGAGAAGGTTAGAGAGAAGGAGGAGTGCTATGAGTACTTCTATTGTATAAACGTGTGTGTCCATAGATGCGTGCATGGTGGGGAGAAAAGTAACTTGTGTGTTTTTGTACATGCTCCTGTGTGTTAAACTGTGTGTGTTTGCTTCTCTCACTACTGTGCGAGAAACAAACACTAGTCGACTAAATCCAGACTCATGGCACCAAAATCCGTTCACCGCTACACACTCACACACAGAGGACACACAAAGTCATAAGGTTAATAGCTTTCAAATGATATTAAGACACCGGTTGAGTGAGTGCAGCTACCTTATGACAATAAACAACCTTTATGCTCTGTGCACTTGTGTTCTTTAGGTCCTGGCTCGCAGTCTATAATATTTACATTACACAAACACGATGTGCAGCCTGATGATTAAAGTTAGTGTAGCTACAATAAAAAAATGCTTCCAGGGATGTACTGTAAAACATCTGTGGTACTTTCTAACATTATTACCACCATAATGTGTCTGTAAAGGTTGTGGGTTTTTTTGTTGTGGGTGAAGCGTTGCAGTTTATAGTCTTGACTGTTTCACATTCTGCCCAGTGTGGGAGTTTTCTTTCAAAGTCTCATTGCCTTCACAGACATTTTAGCAGCTTGCTACCCTGTAGCCCGTGTTTCTCAGTCTCAGCTTTTTGCGCAATCACCATCACTCACCAGGAGGCTAAAAGAAAAGCCACGGAAATGTACAGTAAGTAACTACATCCCCTGGGCTAAACTCTCTGACCTCCACACTGAATTGCCTCCATTTTGTACAATGTACATGTACAATGGCCTCCAGAAAATGGCAGCAGTGGGGAGAAGAGTCCTGCACTGGGTCAGGTACCCGCAAAAAATGATGGATAACGGGTAAAAAATACATCATAGTAATTCACATCATATAAATGCAGTGGGTAGTGAGTGAAATAAACATGAATTAAAGAATAAATAAATAAAGGTGCAGCTTCTTTTAAACATCTAATCCAGCATAATTTTATCAAGCCTAAATAACCTCTACATTTATTGTGAAGGCCTATGGCATAACCTTTCACCCCTCAACTCACATCTAGCTAATAGGACGTCACTCAGACACCAACGTAGGCATCAGTGTGTCAAACTGAATAACCTAAAAGCGAAAATAGCCAGTGGTGAATACAAAATTAAAAGAGCAGGTCTGATACGGAGCTTTGCGGGTGTAGGTTTTCAAAATTGGACCCATGCAGGACTCTAGTGGGGAGGTCATTTTAGCAACAGAGACCCTGGAGATGCTAAAGGTAAAAAAACAAGTGAATGTATTGGGCTCACTCAGAACTGCCTGTCTGTAAAAAAAGTAAAACTGAGGTTCAATTAAAGAATAACCCAATTTCCTCTTGTGAAAATTGTCACTTTAAAAATATGTAAATAACGTGTCTCAGCCTCTCACATGTTTACAATAAAACCCTTCAAAAACACACAGAGGAGGTATTTCCAGGCAGAATGTAAATAAATGTGTCATTGATTTGGCTTTCTGGTGTTGTTTTCCGCCGTTTAAGACTTGTTGACTATTGTCCTCTATGGTGAGACGTGTAGTGCCTAATGTTCATTTGTTGAGCTTGGAGTGGCTGACGGCATCAGTCGGCTGGTATTGCTACATAGACTCTGGGGACGCCAGCGCTAACAATAACATCGTCAACACCCTCTCTGGGAGGTGACAGAACACAGTGCTTACAGGCAGGCAGAAAGATTGAAAAGAAGAGTGGGAGGAGATCTGAGAAGTGAAAGGAGGAAGAGGGGAGGAGAGTTTTGAGCGTGTAAACGACTGATTGGAAAGTTTCCTATTTGTTCCACTCTTCCATCACCCCTCTCCCTTCTCTGTCCCTCCCCTCCAGCCATCTATTCTGTCAATTTGTCTTTTCGCCGCTCGCTGTTTCTCCAGAGAGAAAGTGTGTGTCTCTGTTTGTGTTAGCCGGGCTTAGTCCCGTAAGGAGCCAATTAAAACACAGACTTGGCCATGAGCATGAGATCCACGACTTGGGAGTGTGTGTATGTCACTCTATGTGTGAGTGTGTGCATGTGTTGTCTTCTTGTTCTCCCCAGAAAACAAAAACAACAGCTGTGAAAGGAATAGTGCCTAGAGGAAATGGTAGGGAAAATTTGCCACTCATGCAGACACAAACACACACATCCATACATAAGCACCTTCTCATGATGTGCATCCAGATACTCCCTCACAGTTGATAACGCCTCGTGCACAGCCTGCTCAGGTGGATATCCTACACAAACACACACACACACACAACATCAAAAATATATACACAATTTGCAGGAACAGGTGCAGTGACAGGTCCCTGCACTTGTGTTAGGTTGTTGTCTGCACTTTTTCCACACAGTCCCTGTTCCTCTTTTTTCCATGAATCTAACACTCTACGTTCTGTGTTTTCTCACTTTCTCTCATTCCGACTCGCCTGTCCCAGCGAGAAGTAAACACAACACACTTGTTGGTTATAAGGAGACAGATGGAGAAAGACTACAGTGCCTCTTCTCTATTCATTCGGCAGCCGAGACCTTTCACTGCTGGAAAATTACCCCCACTGCTGGAAAAGCAACTCTGTGCTGGCAGTAAAAATTCATCATTCGGCCCAAACAAACACACACCATGTGATTATACAGTAATTATTCCATACATCATGAGAATGGGTGTAACATGTGAACACGGGGAATACATTAGCACCGAACGCTATTGTTTCAGCATCAAAATTAACACATGCAGCATTCGCACTGCAAAGGATATAATAAAAGGTGTCAGACTGGCCCATGATGATTTGTTACATAAGCCATTTTACTGTTTCATTGAAAAAAAAAGGCAAAGTTTCATTTCTGTGGCTAATATTGAATAAAAATAATCTAGTTCATGCCTTGTTGCTTTGGTTAAGTTCTGCATCATTAATGAGAAAATGTTATTACAGAACTCCCCCGCAAAGTTGGAAAATGTTCAAACTGAGTCTTATCTACAAAACATTTACTGCTATCATATTTCATTAGTTTTATTTCCATATCCATGTTTATAATTATGCTTAGACAACTCAAAGCACAGTAACTTAAAGCACAACACAGTATGCATCAGTTTGATTTTAATTTAAGCCCAAACTGTGATCTTTCCTCCACCTGCACTGTAGCAGGATGTGAACCGTGATCTTCAGCGTAAAAGTCCAGTGTAGTACAAAACCAACCAGTAGTCCAATATGATTTAGTGGCTAAATTGATTTTTCTTTTATTAGAATTGATCAGGGTCATTTGGGACCCAGGAGGGATGGCATTAACTTTCTTGGGAAAGCAAAAAGAGGTTTCCTGGATTTAGTCTCAGAATTTGAATCAAAGTTTTAGCATCTGAGAGTTAGTACATAGTCAATTCAACAATTATGTAATAAGGGTTTTGTAGACTTTTAACTGCATTATGATCTTAAAATACTCATCCAAGTTACATATCCTCTTCTTTATTCTTTTTTTTTTAGTTTTACCAAGGAAGCTATGCTTTTCCCAGGGTTCGCTTTTAGGGTTGTTTATAGAATAACTCAAAAAGTTGTGAATGATTTTTGATGAAATGTTTGGGAGAGGTAGGTTATGGCCCACAGATCAATCCATTAGATTCTGGTGGTGATCCGGATCATCCTCAATCAATTCTTATTTTTTTTAAATGGCATTACGGGGAAACTGAACTGCTTGGTGGAGGCTTGCGCTCTCTGACTGCCACCTAGTTTTATCTTGTTGTGTACTTTTATTTTGAAACTTCCAGGTTGGCAGTGAAACGTTTCATGTGTCTAGCTCTCACTGGATAGCTAATACGTTTTTTAAAAATATATACTGTAAATCAATGAAGGCCCCTGTGCCAAAATGCATCGTGAAATAAAGACGATTCTTCCAGTAAGTCAGCTGTGTTACTGAGTTGTTTTTTTTTTATACATTTAGTACAACAACATAACCTTTCACAGCCAACATTTTTTGGACTGGAGAAATGTTGCTACTGATCATAATCAAGGCAATAATTAATTTTCTCCAAAACGTATTTAGCAAAACCATTTAGTAATGAAATTAGCAATAGATTTTTTACATTTTTATGCTGGTTAAGGTGGGACAAAGTAGACCTTTATTATTATCAGTAGTGGTGATTACAGTCATACAATAGCTTCACCCCAGCTTCAACCTGTAATGAGCGCTACCCAGCCAGAATGATTATACACCTGTGCACACCGCTGTCAAGAGGGGGTTTTATTACTTGAGAAATTGGCTATTTATCTGTTTTTCCACCAAGATTTTAAAATTATTTCCATTTGTTAAGTTTCGGTTTTCATAGATTCACAATGAGCTCTAATGAAACAGGTAGTTTGTAGCATTATTCATTCAAAAGTATTTTTTAAACTAATTAACTACCGCCACCTTCCTGCTTTAATAGCAGTCATACCTTTAACTGTAAAATCAACCTCCAGTCAAGACAATTCTTTTTCCTATTATCTCTTAAAAACCAGAATTTCATCTATTCTTTCTGTAGCTACAGAAGTAAAAACCTGTTTACTGTGCATCTGGTAAAAATATGTCACCTTTTGTTACGCTCCCAAACTGGTTACTGATACAAAACACTCAAGAAGAAAGAGTAAAAAAAAGTCATGTGGGGAAACAGGCTCACACATTGAATCATTCAGAAGTTTGGGCCTTTTCTCTTTTGAGCAACAGGAACAGAGCGTCGACAACTGGACCGCACACCCACACCCACACCCACACCCACCCACGGGAGTGTTTAAAGCACTATCCTATCCAGGGGGATTTCAGTCAATCTGACAAAATCTCCAGCCTAATCTGTCTTAATCTGCCAGTTTCAATCCAAGGCCTTAATCTGAGAACCGCCTCTGGACTGGAGGAGATAATGTGACAAGTGGCACCGGGTGGTTCAACACTGTGGTTAAACAGAGAGACTGATACTGGAAATGTGACAGAAAACACAGCCTGTGTGTACAGTGTACAAACACAGGCACATGGATCTACTGTTAATGCTGGGTGAAAATGGATTTTACTCTCTAATACTCACCAGAAAAATCACCAGTTTGAGTATAGACCTAAGCAACCCATAAACGTGTAAAGTAAGATTGTAAAAAATGACAACTTTCACACACACACACACACAGACACAGAACAGATTAAAAGATCATATTCTCACTTGAGGACACACACGTACAGACAGACACTGACCGTAGACTCCAGTGGAGATGCAAGGGAAAGCCTGCAGAGTAAAGAGGACAAACGAAGTGGTTACAATCTGTTGCTGATCACATAACATCCTGCATTCATCACACACACACACGCGCACACACACACACACACACACACACACACACACACACACACACAATCTGCAGAAATCACACTCTGCTGGATCTCGATGGAGTCTTTCCTCTGATTGTTTTTTTATGGCAGTCTTTCTTCTCTCTCTGACTTTCACTGCTATTTAAAGACCAAATTGTCGACCATCTTTTGCTGGCTAGGATTGGTGTAGAGCTACATCTATCCCCAGCTATAGAAGCCTTGGACTCTAACCGAGGATTATTATATTATTTACAAAGGTTGGTGTGGTAGCAATTGTGTTATTGTATTTGAGTTAAAAAAAAAAAACCAATAACTATTATATATACCATTTCATTCCTGGCTGAACCAGAGCCTTTAAAATGAAAGAACTGCAGCACTGAAGGATCAAAAAAAGGTAGTGGGTCCTGCGACTTCAAATAGCTCCAAAGAGCAGATTCATAGCTCCAAAGAGCCAATTCAAATCCATTGTTTTCTGTAAGGAACAGCAAATTACTGCTTTTAATTAGTTGAACAGTCTTGCAAACTAATTCTGCATTCTGTTGGTGCAGACAGCTCAACAAATTTAGCTACAGTAGTTAGCTAGGTACCTAATCTATTAAAGTGACCCAGGATTTGAGGGAGGCAGTCAGTACTGTAAAATGTGTATAAATGTTTTGGCACATGTTAACAACTTAAAATGTCACAAGTAGAAACACTGCTATTGATTTCATCTTCTTATGTTAGAAGATACTGTAGCAGCCAAGTCCATGTAACTCTATGGTGCTGCTCCTAATGTTTGGAGCTACTTGACGTCCCCATGATCCGCCATTACTGTAAAAAAGAACGGTCCTTATAGAGTCAGTGAAGCTGTTGTCACTGTCCTTAATCCACTCTGGGCTGAATCAGTGACAAAACAGCAGTCGTGATTTAATAATACAGGTCCCAGAGTTACATTCACAGTGACACATGTAACAGAAAAACAGCAACTTGGGTATCTGATTAGAACTCAGCTAAACAAACCGTGGCCTGAGAAGACCATAAAAGTAACAGTAGATAACTGGCCAATTTTTTTCTATCCTGCTGTGAGCGACAAACAGGACAGACTGGTAAAAGCGCTGGTTCTCATCTACCGCTTGTCACCTGCAGCTTTTTGTGGCAGCTCCTCAATAAAAATGACCTGTGTTTTTGCAGTTGGATGCTTTTAAAGGATAGTTGTTGTTTTTTTTTATTTCAAGTATGTCTTAAAAAATTCCTCTTAGGGGTTAAACCACAATGTCCCCAGTTCAAATCCTGTTGGGAATCTTTGTTGCATCATTCTCTCGCCCTCACTTCCTGTCATTTCTATACTCTTGCTGTATAAAGAAGCATAAAATGTCCCCAAAATACGATTTTAAAAAGTCTTCTTATGTCTGCACGTACATTGAAAGAAATGTTGGTTGCTGTATTTGTTCTTCCTACACACACTGGCTGCAAAGAGATCTCTTCTTTTCCCAAACCTACTGTAATGTGAAGCTTTAGCTGTCTGAATTAGCCACATCAAGTGGGTGTGTGTTTTTATACCAAAACCAAGGCCGTGGGAAGTAGGGGTGCAGAGGGTGCTGCAGCGCCCCCATAGGATTGTTAATGGCCCCGCATGTACGCCACAACAATAAATTTAAAACATAAAAGATAATAAATAAATAACATTTAATTTAATTTGTTTTGGTTGTGTTCACATTCTAATAATATTCTGATCTTAGTAAGTGATTAATAGTGGATCTTGGGTTCCAAATTTGTTTGGCCAAACTGTGTTACATTTCAATTACAATTACATAAAATTACAATTAAACATTTAAATCATGCATGCACTTAAATGTGACTGCTTGGAATTGTAATACAAATGTAAAGGACTGTAATCTTAAGTCCTTGTCAGGTAGGTTCATACCACTCTCCTTCTGAGCTGAGGAAAGCAGATAGTAAACTAAATCATATCTGGCAGACTCTCAACCCACTGTCAAACCCAGCGGTGCGAGCAGATGCCAGGATGCTCCCTGCGTCTCCAGATCTGTCCGTTTAACCACACTGTGGGGGTGGCAGCTCAAGGTGAGAGCGGGTGTGACTCACGAGTTCCTCAAGACGAAAGGTAAATAAAGGATTTGAAAAATGTGCAGCAATAACAAAGGGCTTAAAGAGCTTAATTTTAAAAACTGGGCTGAAAGGTCAAATAAAATGTAACATATCCATAGTTGGGTTTACCAGACTGTATTGTGCTGCATGTCTTTTATTTTGCCATACATTTGGAGCTCTGCATGTATGTTTTCATTTTCATTTGACTTCATTTTAACATTGCTTTGGTGTTTTTCTTAGACTTTAGCACATTGTTCTGTTGTGAAACCTCCTGCGTGATGTGTTACAAAGCACACCATGTGTTGGGTTTTTCCTCTATAATACTGTAAGGTCCTGACCATACTATGTAGTGCCTTGAGATAATTTTTGTGATTTGGTGCTCCATAAATAAAACCGAATTGAAAACCTTCTTACAAGTCAACACCTGCAGCAGCCTCTTTTCCTCCTTCTCCATCCTGGTCTGAACGCAGTTTCCTTTAAACATCTTCATATGTTAAATCTTTAGCTCAGATTTCATTTTTTTAACTGTAGAATCTCTTCGTAGTCCTGATACTGTATGTGGCTCTCTCTTCAGTACTTCTCTTCCTTCACCCTTCGCAACCTAGCCTCTCATGTTTCTGCTCTCTTTGAACTGCTCACTTCATTCTGTTTTCATCGTTCCTTCCTATCTCCCTTTGTTTTTTTTAATCCTAGCTTCTATCATCCCTTCATCTCATCCCTCTGTTCTCACCACAGAACGTGCAGCATTTTCAGTGGCTGTTTTCAGGCTGTTCTTGTAGCACGACCTCAGAGCCTTCTTCTCCTCCTCTCCCACTCCCCCATGTGCAATCGGCCCCACTGTGTGAATCACGTCTGCAGAGAGAGATGACAAGAGGAAATCTTTCTTAACAGAGACAGAGAGCTGTGAAGATAAAGTCTATATTTAATGTCATGTTGCCCGTTACAAATTATGCTGGCACTATTATGGTGGTCAGTTGATTTGAAGACAGATATTTCTGTGTTAAGTACATTACAAATACAGACTGCTGTCCCCTTAACCAACAGTTTATTCAAGCTTTTTAGTTTAACTGAGAAACTGGTATATTGTTTGGACCAGATAACCTTTGATTTGGTAGATTAATTCTGTGTTCATTTAATGTGAAACTAAGTTTTCTGAGGACTCCAGTATCCACAGCTTAGCACTTCACATCAGTAAAAGTCATCATAATTAACCCAAATGATGTATAATTAAAGTATGGTATTTTTCATCACAGATTGTACAGTCTGTCCTGAGTATCATGGACATTATTCCTTTACGTTTTGAGAGTTGCTAGTTCTCAGAAGAATTAAAGACTCGGTGTCATGAATCAAATCCTTTTTGTTGCATGTAGTGCAGAGCATAGATCAGGCCGGTGCCTGAGTGTGGTGCCCAAACCTGACGAACTTATAGTTTATAATGTTTGAACCTAATCCAAGCCCAACACAGTTGAGTTTGTACAGTGTTATCATTAAACGAAGCAGACATTTGAGTGCTCCAGCCAACCATCTAGCCTAAAGTTTAACCTACGTGTCTGAACCCGACCTGAACAAAATTTCTAAATTTCTGTCCAAACCCTCAGGTACTGACGGGTCCAGTTGTGCTCAGTTCAGGTATCCACACTCTAGAGTGGAGACAAAAAGACAGTAGCGTTGTTGGTTGTTCCCTAGGTTCAGGTGAAGCATACACCTCCAAGACAAACTTTCTAACATCAGGTGTGCAGGCCAGTGAAGAATACTAGTGAAAAAGAAATTGAAAACAGAAAATATTGTGCTGAATAATCTATAGTTCTAAAAGCTACACATTCTATATGTTCATCACGTGTCTGTGTTGGAGCAGCTTAGACAGTCCTCTGCACTATAAAACATTCAGATGACTCTCAGCAGACTCTCCTATTCATTGACCAAGAAACAACAGTATGAAAAATCGGATGTAATATATTCATTGATTTCCCACAACGGCTGTCCTGTGACGTGAACACTCACAAGTTGCCACCATAGGAATCTTTTCCATCCTTCAGACTTGATGTGAACTTATATCACTAGGGTATCCGCAGGAGGAGAGCAGTGGGTTGCGGCTGTTTCCCGACACCAAACTGCTCCTGAACTGATTTTTTTTTTTAAGTAAAGCTGAAAGCTGGAGCCTAGAACAATGCCTCTGTCATTTTGTGAAAAGCAAACTTATTCACATATATGAGAAACACCAGGGGATCTCTTAGCTACAGTTCTCCCACGGCCAGGAATGAAATAACCCACTCATAGTGACACAGAAACATCCTCATATAAAAACTGCAGGCCAGGCTCTTTACGTTGTGAGTGTGTTAGATGAAATAAGTCATGTTTTTCGCATTTCACACAGTAATAACTTCACCCCATAACTGACTGAGTTCACATTTTGTTTTTGACTTCGTTATTCATCTTCATTTGAATAGCTAACAAAAATGTCAGTTGAGGGCAGCCAACCCTGGGATGCCTTGTGAAAGAACTTCACAAGTGATTCTCATTAATTATAATAGTTAGGAAAATAATATTTACATCCAAAACTGAGGAACTAATGCTAGTTTGCTGGGTGCTGCCAGCTAGTGAATGATGACCTCCAGTATGGATGCCTGAGGATGTTCTCTCTCCTCCAGCTCATTTTAAATGATTCTCAAAAAAACATTTTACCCAAACGGTTTGTAATATTACATACCTTTATCACAATTAAAATGTGCAAAGCAAAATTACATTCTCTTCATCTCTCTCAGCAACAATCTCTGTCACTGCTTCTAATTGCTTTGCAGTATACAAAACATTTGTCATATCTTCTTGTAATGTGGCTGATCAATTTTTTCCACTGAGATCTCTGGAAAAAAAACCTTCAATTGAACTGATTAAATAAAAAGTAAATAAACAGAAGTGTACTGAATTGAGAGAAAAAGAAGAAAGAGAAAATCTCTCAAATAAAATCTGAGTGAGAAACAGAGGGAGTTTTAGATTTAACAAGCCTCCACACACCTACACCAACACTGCCACACTTTCTGATGAGGCTCGGCATGTTGCTCTCAGCATGAATCCCAAAAGCTGGACAACCACCTCTACACACACTGAAAAAAATTCCATTCCAACAATATATTTAATCTAGTATTGAGACTTGAACAGGTTTGGGGCAGACAAGTATGGACAGTCAAAATGTGCTTTAGCTAATAAGACACAAACAACTATAATCTTTCCTGTCTTCATTGAACACATTCTTTAAAAATTCACAGTGCTGGTGGAAAAATTAAGTGAACCCTTGGATTTAAAGACTGGTTGAAGCTCCTTTGGAGGCATTAACCTCAAACATGTTTACTGTAGCTGTGGATTAGACCTGCACAGTTCCTCCTGGTTAGGATGTCTTGTGAACTGGTTCTTGAGGTCATTCACAGCAGCTCTGTTGGCTGTTGACTGTAGATTTATTTTGTTTATGGTCACTGTCCTGCTGCTGCATCAAGTGACTTCTACGGAGCTTCAGCTGGTGGACAACCACCCTGACATGATCCTACAGAAACCTTTTACATACACTGGGGCAATTGGGAGTTAAGTGTTTTAAAGTACCTCAATTGCCTCAGTGTGCTGTGAGCTGTGACTGTGTGGGTGCGTGGGTCAAATCAGCAGGACAGACTACAATAAATAACTTCCTGTTTTTCAGAACACCACCGTGCACCTGCCCCTTTCACCTCATGCAGTAACGTTGCCTCTCATCTCTCCATGTACACCCAGCAATTTGAAGACCTCTGGTCTAAATGCCAAATGAAGGAGAGGAGGGGTTGCCAGACATTTTCAGGGGCTGAGATATGGTACAGAAGTAGCCAAAAACTATCCCAAGCTGCTCACAACAATTGTTTAACCACTCAATCTAAAAACTCCAAAAGGTTCCTAAAACTGAATTATATTTAATTATTCACACACACAGATTGAACAAGCTGCACAACACAGACGAAGCTCTTCAATCCAACCCTCAGAGGATCGCAGGCCATAAGCAGAAAGATTTAAAGCAGTGCTAGGGACATCCTAAAATATGGTAAAATATGTTTTTTTTTTTCTTAGCACCAAAGCTTTTGAGATACAAAGTTGAAAGAAATGAAACTCTTGAGGAAAAGCAAACCTGGTTTAAGTTGCATTGTATCATAGTTTCAATCTGAAACCACTTTCTAAAGATGAGTGGTAGCAAACATTTTGGTAACATGTAATCCAGGTTTAAACCATACCTTCATCACAATATTGTAATATGTGACAATGCTAATTACTTTTCTAAGGGCATCCAGACATTTCAAAGCTGTTGCTGAATACAACAGCAAAAAAGATTTTATTGAATTCAAATGGACTTTCATGCCCATGAAAATATCGCAAAGGGTCACCACAGCACAGTCTTAATCAACACGGATCAGGAAAGGCAACTTGATTTAATCACTGAAAACTTCAAGAAGTACAAGAACAAGCACAATGTGAGGTCCAACGTGTTTTCAGACACGAGGCAAGCCTTCCCACTGCACTGTGCTGTTATTGAGACCGAATTGATTTAGACTTGTTACTTGAGCTTCAAGACTTGGTCCCTGACTTTGTTCCAGTACCCGTTTCTACTTGCTGTTATATAAATGTTTTGATCATTTTGGTGGGTTGGTATTTTTTGAGATACAAGGACAAAAAGGATTTTTCATTTTTTATTTATTTGCAGAGGTTTGAGAGACTTAATAACTGTCAGTGTATAGAGGACTGCGGTTATGTTTGTACTCCTTCAAAAATCTAGTTTGAAGTTGCACTTTACTTTGTTATTTTAGTTATTTCTCAGGAAAATTGCTTCAAAAAATGCTCCCAGAGATTCTTCCTTACCAACATAATGTCACCTTATAAGACTGATACACCAAACATGATAGAAACCACCCAGCAGACACAGATGAGTTTATTGTTTATTATGAGTCAAGGTCCTGGGCACCTGATGAATTTGTCAAGTACTCACTCCTCTTCTAGCTCTGTTGTGGTCTCTACCAATTCCTGAGGGGCATATCTGACTCTTTAGCTGCTAAATGCTCCACTGTGTTGCCAAGAAAAGTTGTGGGCCAAAAACATTAAAGCCCTTTTCAGGCATGCACTGGAACCCTGAAATTATCTAGATATTACTCGGAGTAGCTGCACGTGAGAACCCAAATGCGTTAGTCCACCTGGACATTAAGCCGACTTCACCCTGCCAGCTCCCTAGTAGTTTGTGTAATGTCTGAGTGAGCTGGAGTGAGACCATGTGAGAAAACAGCAGCGTATAGTGTGGAGTATTCACAAGGAGCTGAGCTGGTGGGCGTGTTGATGATGCTCTATGATGTGACCGGCATGAAACTGGAAGATAAAAAACATCTGATGCTGATAAAAAATGGTCACTTGGAAAGAAGAAAAATATCTAACAACAACAAAAATATCTAACTGGAGAGTGGAGAACTTCTGTCATTAAGAGCTGGTGCCAGAATCGTCAGACCAGTTTAAAGCACGGCAAAAAACTCGTTTATGATCAAACTACAAACTGGCTACATGCCTGCATCATGTCCTGCCTGTCTCCTGTTCTGTACTACATGTGTGAAAAGGCAACTCTGGACAAAGTCTGGACCTGATCCCGTGGACACTGTGTGGAGTTCATGCATGAAAACAGCATGAGACACTTTGCTTCATACCTTTGTGCGGCGACCTCTTAGATTAGATCTATTGTTAATCTAAAAATTATAGCGCCTTTAAGAGCTTGTTTTTAAAGCACCTGGATTTTTTGCCTGTTTAACAAAAAGTATAAATATTAATTTACATGACTGGTTGCTAATATACCAGAAATGGGTTGT